TCCTTCTAGTTAATGCAAAATTAATCCCATATTGATGATGCTCTTAATAAGATTCACTGTTGGCTTATGTACAACTTTATTTTACTTACAATTATACATTGGCAATCCAGTCCTCAATAACTTAGGAAGAAAGAGCAAACTTGATAGGTAAAAGGGATCACAGGTGTTTCTTTACTTAAAGTACATGTATGAATTTCTCATGTTTTCCTCATGTATTTTTTAAAGCTAACTTAAAATGTGTTTAAAGTGCTTTGAGTGTTTCTCCTTAATTTTGGGATCATAAAACACATAGTAATATTCCAGTATTAATACTATCAATAGAGGCTGGCAACCCCCAGAGACCCTGGGAGCCACAAGACTGAAGGAGGATGATGATGTAACCAAAAGAAGGATGGGGCTGTGCAGGAACCCACTGTTCTGCCTAATGTCACTGCACAGTTGAACCCGAGGATGTGGAGGAAGCACCACACAGAGTGAGCATCATTCGCGATGCTCATGGGCACATCAAACTACCTTTCTGTATCTCTGGGGTGCATTTTTTGTTTGTTCTGCTTTCTTTGTTTTTTGATTTAGTTATTTTTATTTTCCGTGTATGAGTGTACTGTCTACATGTATGTAAATGAACCCATGCTGTTCAAAGCCCACAGAGGCCAGAAGAGGGTGTGGGATGCCCTGGAACTGGAATTATAAACAGTTGTTAGCTACCATGTAGGTGCTGGGAACCAAACCCAGATCCTCTGGAAGTTTCCAGTGTTCTTAACCACTGAGCCATCTCTCCAGCCCCCAAATCTTTGTTTTTGGCACTGCTCTGCAAACCACTCAAATGCACTTCTCGCCACGAAACATTAACTCAACCTAGTTAACTGCTACTTCTTTCTGGAAGGACATTCTCACCAGACTCTCACTCATAAGAACACTTCACATCTCCGAGGAAAACCATGAGAAATCTGGCCTCTCTGTGAGTCAGGATTGCCAACCCCACCAGATCAAAAGAAGGCATGGCAGGAGAGCCATGGGCAGCAGGGCCGTGCCTCCCCAAGACACCCCGTCAGATCCACAGTTCACCTCTCCTGATGTCATTTCCCACCTCACTGGCAGGGTTCTTTAGTCTAGGTGGTTCTTCTCCTAGGAAGGCTGACCATGTCAGTTTTTGTCCTGGGTCCAGGGCAGCCACAGCAAGTGTTCCCCTCTGTGAACTACATGACTTAGGAAGGCTCCAAAGGCAGGCTTTAAGGAAGAAGAAAAGCCACCTTCGGACTGTTTTAACCTTTCTGTGAAGCTAGGCATTCCCACATATGTAATGCTTAATCTCTTAATTCTGCACACATGTGCTTACACTCAGTTCAGTGAGGGAATCTAGTGAGGAACAAATGCCACTCCAGATGGCAGGAGCCCTCACTATTCATCATTCAGTCTACATGGGCACAAGCATCCTCCAAGACACATCTCATATCCACAAAAGACTTTGAACTTGAATAAAAAAACATCCCACTTACCAAACTTCGGTACTGGCCCTGGAGCAATTTTGAAGTCCGACTGTGTGAAGACTGGGATCCCAGAGAATCGAAAGACTTTATCCGGTGTGAAGAGGGCCGAGCACACACAGAGTCACTTCCTAGTCCAATGTCTGAAAAGGTCATACATACAGAAACAGAAAGCATTGAAAATGCCTGACACTGCACACCCTCACTACACACTGGCTTTAAAACTGGGCCACTATGGAAGGATACACCAAAAGACCACAACAAAGCAGGCCACTTACATACAGTAGACAAAGAACAGATTCTTTGTCCCATAAACGGCTCCAATTACCTCTCCAGAAACTATCTGGAGGTGACTATTTATCGGTTCTTCACTAGTTTAATTTTTTAGTGGTCTGCATACCATTTTTTTTAACTTTAATGCCTTTCCTTTACCTGAAAAAGCAAGACTCTCTAGTGCAAGTACTCAGTGAAGAAATACCAGGCACTCTCCAGCACTATACCACATGGCCCACTTCTCCAAGACCACATGCCATACTATAAGCAACAAAGCAGAGACAGTCACATGACACTGAATGAACAATGGGTTGACTTCTTTGTAAAGGCAGCACTGTCAGGAGAGTGTATTATGTGCAAAACATTAGAGTGTACCACTGACACAGAACTAGGTGGTACAACTACCTATATTGTACAGTGCACACTACCATACACACAGTCCACTGCTGATCAAAACATCACTGTGGGAATCATGACCACACTGAAGGAGCCTGGAGACAGAGAGCAGTTGGGAATGTGAATCTACCACATCCTCTAAACCTTAGCAGTGAAGACACAGTCATGTCCGAGTGGTGGTAGGTTCTGGGGTGGTGCTCTGAACCAGACAGGCCTCACTCCTGTTGCAGAGTCAGAAGTCAGTATTCTTAATCCAGGGCTCAGGTAAAGGGAAGTTTCCAGACTGTAATCACAGCAACTGTGTGTTGATGAGTAGCTCAGAGACCATTCCCAACACCAGGGATTGCTGTCCAAGCACTCACAACCCCCAGAATCACAGCAGCAAAAGGATCAATCAAACATACAATGCTATAGAAGCTTATTTCTTAAATGTGGTAATGCTCATTTTGCCTTTCTAACAGAAAACCAAAGATGTGAGCCCTTCAGCATTCCCACCCCTCACAATAAAAGAGTCTTACCTGCTGTTACTTTATTTAGAGTCACTAAGGAACTGAGGACCTTGTTAAAGTTCTGTCCCTGATACAAATCATTTGCATCAAACGTCTGAAAGGAAAAAATTAACAAGAAAATTAGTTCTGAGTCTCATGTTGGTGCAGAATAAATGAAGTTCAACCTGAGGGTACACACAGTCAGGATAATCAGGATGCTCAGGTCAGAAAGCCTCAAGGGACAGCAGAACCTGTGAGTGGGCCCCCAGGAAAAGGAGTCCCTTGGAATTCCCTTGTGAAGCATTTCCTCAAGAGAGCAGTCTAAACCCCTGGAGGAGGGCTAGGTATAGACCAGCTATGGACCAACCAGGACCCAGCACTACTCCCTCCTCTACCCAGGACAGACAGGAGCCAGGGTGTGGAGCAGACTGGAGGCACTCAGTCAAGGCTCATGAGTTCCTCTCTCCTTGGACTGATGGTTCAAAGCCCACAGGACAAGGCATGTTACGGATGTTTTCCTAGTACAGAAAGAAAGGTAAATAAAATGCATCCCATTCCAAAGGCAACAGCAACACAAGGCACCTGGAGACATGGAAAAGCACAGAAAATGACAGGGAGCAAAAGGAAGATAAAACAGATCCCAGAAGAGGGTCAAGTGGGGGCCTCTGCACAGAGCTCTAGAGGACCAGGATTGCCTACAACCCACTCTAATCCAGGGCTACCTAGCCACCACAACCCTCAAAGAGTCAGTCACATGGCACAGACCTGGAGCCAGGAGAAAAGATCCACAAGTTAACTTGGATGTAAGACAGCTAGGGACCACATGTGTGTACATGTGGGTGCACAGGTACAAACTCACAGATATGCTAAAACATATAAAGCTCTTTCCAAACACTCTCTAAAGACTATGTCACTTTGGATCATTAAATCACCTCTCACAAAAATAATTTTGAGAACCAAATCATCCAATACTGACTACATTCTAGAAAAACTAAGAAAAAAAAATCTCATTGGTCCAAATTATAGAAAGAACAGTTTAAATATCAAAATGCTTGCCATATTAACAAACTTTCTCTCCTTGAGGCAAAACAGAACAATCGTCTTGATCCTCAGTCTCCAGATGAGCACCTGTGGGCTGGCCCACCAGCACCTCTGTCCTTCTCCTCCCTCTGCAGCCTCTCTCAGACCATGGCAGGAACTCCCTCTTCAGGGGCCCCTTTCCTGCCTTCCCACTCCACCTCCTTCCGGGCAGTCTTACTCATCTTATTTCCTGAAGGAGCCCTGCCTGGGGAGGCTTACTAGGCTCCCAGAAATCCCCCAGTACATTTATCACAAGGATAATTTCATGGCCATATCCTGTCTGTGCCACCCTGGAGGGTAAAACATCAACCCTGATCAAACATCTCTCACCACCCAGCCAATGCACACTAGACATGTGCTGAGAGGTCTGTGGACCACTCACCTCACCACCCACCAAGAGAGCCAAATGTCACTGTAAGAAGTCCGCACTGAGAGGAAAGCATTCCAAATCTGTTTCATATCCCTCCTACTCAAAAATCACCTCCAGAGAGTAACCTTCCAATTTTGATCAAAAAGTCGTAAGATCCATTATTTCAATATTGACAAGTGAAAAAGCAAGATCAAGCTGGAAAATTACCTCAAGAAAGAGGTCATATGCTAAGATAGTTCAGAAAAAGGGTGAAAACACAGGTTGCTGTTTAAAGTTCATTAGAATCAAACCAAAGATCATAATTCTAAAAGCCAAGGTGAAATAAATATCTCAAGTATTCCATTTCTGATCTCAGGAGGCCAGTCTTCCTGTAAAACCCCTTCCAATAAGTCCTCAGAACTACCTTAGGATGCAGAGCTTAATTCTAGTGCTACAATACCTCTAATTTAAAAAGAAAACCAGATCAAATAAGAGCTCTATCTAGGCTGGTGTCTCCAACAACACTGTAAGGAGCAAATATAGGACAAGTTGTATCTTTTCAAAGAACAAAAAGCATTCATTGTTCTTACGAGCTCAGTTTCCTCACCTATAAAATGTGAAGCTCCCTTAACTATAAGATACTGGGGAGAGGTAAGCTTATTACCTTCAGCTCTATGGCCTAATCTTGAGTCTGGAAAATTCAAGCTGTGGAATTCCACAAGAAACATACATAAATGTCCACTAACCTTCATTGTGGTGAGGCAGCGAGTCACAAAACCCAGAACAACAGGATGTGAAAAACGGGAAGTTTCTGTTATTCCAAGACTATATATCTTTCTTATCCGGATACCACAGAGCATCTGACTGGCTAGAGCTGCCCACCAATTGGCTTCAGAGTGATGTCAGAACTCAGTGAGCACTACCTTCCTCCCGAAGAAACTGAACAATGAGATGAGACAAATCGGGAGGTACATTCTAAGCCACTGAATGTGCAGACTGAAATGCTTCTCTAAGGAACACAACAGGCTATTTTACCAAACAGGTATATATTAAACAAAAAGCAAACACAGAAAAGCCTTAAAACAGTAAAGGTTTATACTAAAAGGAATCAGAAGAAAGACGGAACTTTTACTGAAATACCGCCACAAAGAAATCAGTCACTATGACAACATAGAAACTGCTCTCTGGAGCAATTCAAGTCTAAGGCAGACAATGCACAGGATGGACCCAGGTTTCCTTCTCTCCCTACTACCTGCAGACCCTGACAAGCAGCAGCCAACTAGGAAGCAAGCAAAAGCCCCACTCTATTGCCCCTTGCCTTCAACAACATCCAGGCCAGAGCCTGTCACCATGAGCTGTACACAGGGATCTCCTCAAGTCACCTCCCAGAACCAGAAATTCTTATACTCCAAGAGGCTGCTGTGCAGCCAGGGTAAGAAGCACCCCTCTAGGTGAGGCTACTATGAGGCCTGCCCAGGAGCCTGGAGTCAGCACTGCACACCACCTCCTCACACAGGGCAGGACTCTAAGTGCCCACAACATTTATAATCCTCTCATTTGGAAAAGTATACTACAGAAGTTCACCCTCCTGTTACATTAACATGCCAAGAATACTCAATATCCCCCAAATAAAATTATCCTAGCAGTTTGCCACCAAAAAGTTCATGATGTACAAGTATTTGTGGCTTACTTTTAATGTTTTACTTTCAACAGAAACCATAATGCATAATGAAAAACAATACCAGAGAATACAGAAACGAGGGCAGGAGGGCACAGGAGTATTATTCAAAGTAGCAGCAAAAGCGCTTTCTGGGAAGTTTATATTGCTTCTCATTGATAAGGTAAGGCTGCTGGGGAACCGGATGGTAGGTGGTTGGAGGGAAGCACACACTGCAAGAAGGACCTTAAGAGGCTAAGCCTTCCTGAAGTTCAAGGCTACTAGCTGCCTACTTATCCTATGGACAGCTCTCTGGGCCTCACAGTGGGATTAAGCAGCAGCACCCTCCTGGTGCCTCATGCCCTCAGGAAGAGGGTAGTTTGCATGCTATGCAGTACACCGTCAAGGATCTTGCCAAGACTAACCCACTGACACAACTACATTCTGCCAAGGGAAGCTGATGTTTTGTTTTGTTTTTTAAATATATAACCAGTGCAAAGGAAGAAAAAAAAAAAGCTTAATTTCACTGAACAGATGCAAAGAAATATCATCTGTTACAAACAGTTCAACAATGCTGAACATGACTAGAAAGGTCACAAAAACCCTACTTCTGCCACATCCCTAAATAAACAATTTCTTACTTTATGCTAAATATGGATCCTTATGGTTACAGACAAGTATACCAGTCACCACTGATCAAAGAAGCGTCTTTCTACGACAGAGTCTAGTACAGAGGAGTTCCACAACTGGTCCCACACAGAGAATAAGTGTCTGTGAGGTGCCTAATCCTAGGTGACGTAACAATGAAATCTCTACACCTAAGGCTCACATAACATAGTGGAACAAGAGGTAGAGAGAATACTAATCCATCTCTCAACTCTCACCAGGGAAGCTTCCTCATGCAACAAAAGGTAACGAACACACAAGGCCACTACTGGCCACCAAGTATAGAGAATAAGAAGCTGTGGAGTATGTGTCCCTGAATAGGACTCCTACATTAAACTTCACCCACCCAGGGCTCAGGGACCATTACAGAAGAGGGGGTGGAAAGATTCTAAGAGCCAGGGGTGGTACATTACTGTCCTAGTTTGTTTCTCCATTGCTGTGACAAAATACTCTGACCACTACCAACTTGGGGAGGAAAGGGTTTATTTAGCTTACAACTCCCAGGTAGCAGTTCATCAGGGAGCCCAAGGTAGGAACTCAGGGCAGGAACCTGGAGGCAGGAGCTGAAGCACAGGCCATGGAGGAGCGCTGCTTACTGGCTTGCTCCCCTGGCCCCTGCTTGGCTTGCTCTCTTATCCAACAAAGCCCACCTGCCCAGGGGTGGCGCTACCCACAGTGGGCTGGGCTCTCCCACATCACTCAACAATCAAGAAGATGCCCCACAGACATGGCCACAGGCCAGTCCAATGGAGTCAATTCCCCAACTGAGGATCCCTCAACCCAGGTGTGTCAAGTTGACACTAGAGCTATCCAGCACAGGCTCTTACAAGCTCCTGGGAACTTGCTCAGATGAACCTACAGCAGTGGTGACACCATGCACAAGACCTATGCAAACCCAATCAGATAAAAACCAGTATAGAACTGGGAAAATGGGGAGCCCCCATCTTAGCCAAGGAACTACTGGCAGCTGATCACTGCTGAGTGAGGGAGAGTGGATCTTCTTTAAGGGAGTGATGTTAAATAGGCTAAGCAGGCTCCAGTGGATGAACTCACACTGAGAGACAGCTAGGTACACTGTCCTAGCTTATTTCTCCATTGCTGTGACAAAACACTCTGACCAATACCAACTTGGGGAGGAAAGGCTTTATTCAGCTTATATCTCTCAGGTCACAGTTCATTAGGGACCCCAAGGTAGGAACTCAGGGCAGGAACCTGGAAGCAGGAGTTGGAGCACAGGCC